GTACACCTGAAACCTATGTAATTGTATTAACCAATGTCACACCAATGAATTCAATAACAATTAAAATCAAGTGGAATTGCTGGCATTTCATCGATATCACATTTGACCAGGTCTGGAAAAGAAAGAATAAGAAACTGTTTGAGGATAGAAAATGTGATTGAAACATGACCAATCTTCCTTCAGTGTCAAAGGGTGGAAAAGGTAACAGTAAACATGAATGATAAATGCTTAGTTTTAAAAGATGCAAGGAAATGTCCAGGTTTTCAATAAAGTTGTAGACTTCTATCATCTCCAAGCACAATTTGGACAAAACCACAGCTCGTCCTGTCCTTCATTTTTAAATAGAATCCTTTGTCTTCACATCTTAAATCTCTTCAAGTCTCTCCTTTCCCTTCCTTTCTATTAACCAACTACTGTGGGAGTTACATGGAAAGCACATCTATATGTCTCCTCCTCTCAAAAATTTGTCTTTAGTACATGTTTATTACACATCTGCTTCTGCTGCATTGGACAAAACCCTTTGAACGTTCTCCATTTCCTCACCAACCACCTCCCTAATCTTCCAAGTCCTCTTCTCGCCCCCTCTGTCCAACTACATTCTATCTAGACTCTTTCTACATTACTTTATTGAAATGGTGCTAAGAACACCAGCCATCGCCTTTTAGACAAATCACACAGTATAAACTCTGTTCCTTCTCAAAACACTCTCCCTTGACATTTTTCTTTTGCTTATCCTTTCCACTTTATTTGTTGCCACCCCCCTTACTTTTTTTCCCTTTCTCTAATTTAACATTTACTCTCTACTTGTTTAATGGTTGATTCGTAAACTTAATCCTCAACTATGACTTTAGTGGAGTCCAAACTGTGTGTTTTTTCCCTTTGTTGTTTTGCTTATGTTTTTGCCTTCATCTCTCCCAATAAATAACAATGTCGGAGCTCTTTCATAAGCTAAATTTAATATGTGTAAAACTGACATGATGTGCAAAACTAATTTCCCTTTCTCATTCTTGTAGTTTCCACAAATGAATTCAACATACAGTATTCTATAGACAACAAGGATGGCCACTCATCTCTCACCACTTGGTTGGCAAAATGACATGGAAAACTAGGTATCCTTTAGAGAGAGCATAGCCCTAAGTGAATCATCACATTATTGCCCAAAAGGTGTAGCATGTTTAAACTCATGCCCATGCAAAGCCCATAAAAGAACACTGCAAGAAGTCAACATAGAAATTGTGTAATTAAAAAAAAAATCTTCGATCCTACCATAGCCATGTTAAATTTAGAGCTAAAAAGGAATCACTCCAATTAGCTGTGAAATGAAAAAAATTCCCCAGCCTAGCCTGAGGGCATGTTGGAAGAGACAAAAGTAGCTTTTGGTCTTCTTAACTCACGCCAGTCCTTCCTCACCAAGGTGCTTTTGCTTTTGAAAATTGTTTTCAACTCCAGGATGATTACTCTAATGACCTTTAAGTATTTCTGTGAGTGACCCTGATAATGATAATTTGAAATTTATTTCTGAATATACAATGGAGAGCCTATTTTTGTTCAATTGTTTTCAAATGTTCTCACTATGATGATATATGCTTTATGACACATGACATATGTTGACAGATAAGCATAGATTCATAGGCCTCAATTAAATATACTGTTCGGGGTGTAAGTTTTGCTTAATTAAAATTTGATATTAATTGAGGTTACTCTGCAAAAAATTTGTGTAAAATTGTATAATTGAGAACTATATGAAAACTAATATTTGTCCCCCTTTTTGCCTTAGCAAATGTAGTTACTATTATTGATGCCTGAAGATCTTACAGTGCTTTAGAGAGATCATGAAAAGGTTTGTAATTTATGCTGCAGAAAGAAATGAGATTGGTTTAAATGTATACTGATTCTAAACTTATTCAGGGATGCTTTAATTTGTGATTTTCTCTTCATGCTTGAGACAGCTAATTGATTTCAGGTTAATCAATTTTCTGTACACAGAAATATATATATATATTCTTATAACATTTTATATTATTAAACAATCATAGTTTCTATGAGAATCATATAAATTCTCATTAAAATTTAATTACTCTGTCCATTATCCCACAAATGTTTTTTTCTTTATTTTATAAAACAAAATTCTTTTCCAAATTTGAATACTTAAATTCACAGATATTCTTCTCATGTTCACACAACCATCAGGATTCCATTATGAAAAAAGTTGGTGGAGTCAGAGGAGTATGCAGATAAGAGTTGTCTTATTATTTTTTGTTTCTCTTAATTTATCTTATCCAAGATTTTAAGAGCTTTTTCATTTCCTTCCCTTTTTGTAAAATTTCAGAACATTTCTCATTGCAAAATATCATCACAGTGATCTGACATTTTGGTAAACCATGTAATGTAACATTACTTACTTTACATAATTTGTATAATTTATGCCTGTCTAGCATATCCTATCTCTAACCTTACCACTAATCCAGGGACATTTTCTATCAGGTTTAGTCACCTTTAAAAGGGTGTAAATTTTAACAGCACATAAAAATGTTATTTTGCTCTCAAGGTGTTTTAGTTAATAAATTGGAGAAATATATATGTAATATAGTACTTTTATGATTATTACTTGGCTCTTCTCAATTAATGAGATTGGAACTTTGAAAATAAATATTTGTTGTTTAATTTTTCTGTTTGTACTTATTAGAAAAACATACATGTAAAAATGATGACACAGTTGATTAACTTTTAATGGAATATAATATTTTGAGTAACAATAATGGGATTCCAGCATGGCTTCGAATATGGATAATACAGTCTTTATGACATGATTATCATGTTGAGCTATGGCAAAAACAATTTAAACTGATTTGTTATCTATTAGAATGAAGCATTTTACTTTGAAACTTTTAAATTATATTACTGTTTGGATACTTGAAAAATAAAAATTGAAAACAATTTTTATATTTTATTATTAAAAACAGAAGTGTTTTCATATTTACTGAGGGCTAAGAAGCAAAAGAAGACCACTTTATCTCCCTTTACCACTTTTTCTGTCACTTATTTCCAGACCACCTAGAAAAAAAGGATCTATGCATGTCTGGCAAAATTTTAGGGACAGAAATGGTCTGGCTAATGATGATATGGCTAATGTCACTCTGTCTCTCCAATAGGATATTTAGGGTTCCTGGATACTGGAGGCCATATTTTATGTATTACTATAGTTAAATTATATATAATTTTGAGATAGATTTTTGTGTCAGCAGCACTGTTAGAACTTACAAGTGAAAGATGAGAAATAAGAGGAAATAAATAAGACAAATAATAATGCCATTAAATGAGATGGAAAATACAGGGAGGTGCATATTGTTCTAGTAAAATTTTATTTCCAAATTTCTAAAAAACACTAGAAAACATTTCAAAAGTTTACCAACACATTTTATCATATTTCTTTAAAATATTTACAAATTAGACAAAATAGATATTTCATGTTACTCTATGTTTTCAAGCTATTCAATTCTCTCTCTCTCTCTCTCTCTCTCTCTCACACACACACACACACACACACACACACACACACACGTGCGCACACACACACAAATAATTTTTTCTCAAGGACAGCCCACTGTTGGCAGGTTAATATCACAATCCTGACTCTTATAATAGTTTGCAATCCCAGAAATGAATACAGTTAGATGTTTGGTGTGGGAAGAGAGTATAATCAAAATCATAAAGTAGAAGTTATAGAAAAAACAAGATGGAGAACAGAGGGGTTTACCAATTCTACTCCTAGTTAGGAATCACTAAACAAAAACAACCAAAGCGTTCTCTATGTTAATCATTAGATTAACATACATGTAAAAATGGGATTCCAGCCTGGCTGTGAATATGGATAATACAGTCTTTATGACATGATTATCACCCTGAGTGTTTCTTCAATGTCTATGTAAAGGTTGAGAGTGACATGTTCTACTTGGTAAGGTGTTTTTTCCCCAAAATGAGTGCAGCAGAGATTCTCAGCAAATTCAGCCAGCATTTTAGCATACTGAGTACAGTGCGTGCTAAGTGGTAAATAATCTGCTATGTAAATATTTGGGGCTTTTCAATGAAACAAATAACTCCTTTTTAAAATAGCCTACAGAAATTGAAGCTGCTCACTCTGAAATTCTTTAATAAGTTGTTTGGAAAGTTTTCATGTTTCATTCCTAGTATCTTTGAAGATACATAGTCACCTCCTAATAAAAGAAACTACAAATGTTTTTTTTTCAGTCATCTAATGCAACTCAACTTTTGTTTGCATTATTTGAATAATTTTCAGCATTATTCCATGGGTCTTACTGTAACATACTGTCTGTTGGATACTAATTAGTTGATACATGAGGGTGATTGTTATATATAATATAATAAACATGACCAACTCACTTATTTTGGTATAAACCTTTTTCTGTACTCTAGAGAATATTGTTGGTTAAAACCAAAGTATAAGTAAAGCTATCTATATGTAAATGCAGATGGCTTCACTCTGAAGGAAAAAAGTTAGAAAAGTATAAAATATGTTCACTTTATAAAAACGCTTAAAACTTGTTTTAGTTTTCTGTTTCTTATATGATGAAAACTTTTTACTTTATAGATGTTACCTAATTAGTAGATCACAAACTTTGCCGTAATGGTTTGCAAATTAAAGAAACATGTATTCTTCATTTCTTTCTCAAAACAACAATTTGAAGCTCTCTATCCTCTAACAGGGGTAGATTTAGTGGAATAGTGGAATCTCCACATAAATACAGTGTATACAAGAATTTTTAGAAAAACTATGGTAGTTGTATATTGGTAAATAATGAAAAATCTATTCTCTTTGCCATTTTTACTACTTATATGATATAACATGCTGATCTATTTGCTAAATTTAGTATTGATTGTTTCTTATCCCTTAATAAGTATATTTAAGTTTATTTAATTTGTTATGTAAATTACTTGGACCTTTAACTAATTTTCTTTTTCTTTTTCTTTTCTCTCCCCAGAAAGGACGGTATTATGAACCCGATCTAAACTTCCTTTCCTCAGTTTTAAACTTTGGTTGCTTAACACTGAAGCAATCATGGTGAACTTAAGGAAAGCGGTGCACTCGTTCCTGTAAGTATGCTATTACTTATTTTTTTTTCAAAAGATAACTTTTTTATGGTAGCTGTCAAAAAAATGTTAGACAGGCTTTTATATGATCATTCAGCCATATTTACCTCAATCTTCATAAATGACTTTTGTTTCAATAGACTAATTGTATATGTGTTTCCTATTCAAAAGCAATAAATGGAGAAAAACCCTGTAATTTGAACTCCAGTTAAACACAACCACTCATGCATTCAAACAAGTAATATGGGAATTATACCTTAGATTCAAAAACAATCCCAATGCCCACGATTGCCTTCTCCATGGTTAAAACATAGAAATGAGAAGATACTTTCCTCCTTCTTCCATCATGAACTGAACCAAGAAAATAAAACGTCTTTATAAGTCTCTGGTTTTATACAGAATATTTGAGGTTGCAAAAGAATGCATCAGAAGTCAGGGAGTTGGGGTTGGGGGTGTAGCTAGACAGAGGAAAACAATGCCATTGTTGGAAGTCTTGATGCAATGACCCAGTAGTTAAAACTAATAAAATGTAACATAAAGGGTATAAGTAAAGATTTGAATTCAAATACTGGGCAATTCTTAACAAGATGTAACCCAGTCATATCTTCTTTTTAACTTAACAAAATGTAGGGTTTGTTTCTTCTAAACCTACTCTTTGAGGAATGGGGCATTGAAAAAAAAAAAGATCCAGATCTCTGTAAACTGACTGGTACAGTGGAGAAGCCTTGAATCGCCTTGCTTTACTCGGTCTCCTCTGTAATTCCTGTAAAAGCTCAGTCAGGAACAAAGTTTACAGAGCAGTTTAGGTATAAAGAACATCATCTCCAATATGCATCATTATAGCTCATCTTGGATGTCACTGCTTAGTGTAGTAATGATAGTCTCAAGGATGTGTGGCTCCAAGAGAACTAGAGCAGACGGGAAAAGGAAAGGGTAGACAGTGATAGCAGAGTCAGATCAGACAGATCAGCAGAGTCAGGTGTAAGAAAATGAAAGGACAAATGTTTCATGCACCTGTGTCAACTCTATTTGGGCATTGGTCTATATACCAGAATGTAGGGTTACTTTAAAGTGTACCGAATTATTCTGGTATGAAATTAAGAAATTCATATCACCTTTTTCCATCCTATTAAGAGAAACAGGGAGCATTCATCTCTTCTAATAATGCTCATTGTCATATGCCATGGAAAAACTCAGTAGGTTTAAAATATACTCAGACTTTTAAATTAAATTATCATTTTGTTTAGCTACCATGCATGTAAAATTATGTTTCATTAAACATTTAGTAGCAATGAATAAATTATTTGCACGGTTCCAAAGAACTTGTGATTTTTGAGCATATATTTTATGAGACTTCTGTGGCTTAATGGCAATTCATATAGCTTTAGAAGCAAGACCTAAATTACTCCTCTTTTGTAAAAAGACTATATATTTCACTGAGGATGCAAATATTTGAAGTTAGATTTAATTATAATACAGCCAAGTTTTATTACAAAACTATAGAAAATAGTATTGAACTACAATAAAACTCATAATACTTTTCCCATAAATAGTACTCAGTAATAATTTATTAAATTGAATTGAAACCAGGGAACTAAAGTAAATACTCTTTCAGGATCTTTCCAGCACCATTACTTTATTTTATAATTCACAATAGATTTCTTTATTTATTTTAACAATAGATATATTTATATTCTACAAGCTTCCTTAGTAATTTAGTATTTTTAAAAATATATTTTATTGGTTTCAGAGACGAAGGGGGAGGGAGAGATAGAAACATCAATGATGAGAGAGAATCATTGATCAGCTGCCTCCTGCACGCCTCCTCACGGCACCCACACTGGGAATTGAGCCCGCAACCTGGGCATGTGCCCTGACCAGGAATCAAACCATGACTTCCTGGTTCATAGGTCGATGATCAACCACTGAGCCACTCCAGCCGGGAACTAACTCAATATTTTTTTCATGGGCTTTTTAATAAAATTTATGTACATCTGACCAATAGAGTTATACTTGAAGTGGTTTTCTACCCCAAAGTTATAAGATACTCAAATTATAAAATTCATAATTGAACATAGTTTTTTATGTTATGTGCATTTTTGTTATGTGCAACTTTATTCTGCATTCCTCCACTGTTTTTAGAGAAATATGGAAAGGATTTAGATGTTTTCACAACTTCCTTCAAAAATGTGAAGTGAGACTGCATATTCTATTAGGACTTTATTCTCTAGGCTTAGGGATAAATATATTATCTGTGGTTCTGCAACTGACAATTGAAGATGCAGTTGATTATTGTGAACATAAAGTCTTGTAGAACTATTTGTAATGATCCCCACATAATTTAAAGCAGAAAAAAAATGATACCAGAGGGACAAGTTTTTTATTAGATAAGGCAGAAAAGACCCTGGATTTAAAATTACTATCTGAACCTAGTTCTGCATAAATAAGTATTATTTTAAAATAAAATCAGGACTTAAATTCTTGAAAAATTTTTAAATATGTGAATTGGGGTATAGTTACCATAAAATGCTTCTGTTTAACTTTGAAGGCAGGAAGAAGGTAGCTCCAACATTTACTGAGGGCTTATTATCACAGAGTACTATTTTCAGGGCTTTGCACATATCATTTAATTTTCACAATAATCAGGTTATAGAGATCATCCTCTTGGACAGATGAGGAAATTTATGTTGTAAGAGGTTAAGTGACTGGTCAAAAATTATTGAGGTCATGTAGCCAGGACATTGGCCACGTGCCATATGCAACAAATACAGTGACAGGATAATCAACACTAAGAACAAATAACTTGCTTTTATTTATTTGGTCCTTTATTTCAATAAATTTTATTCATATTAATCAGATTAATTATGGTACAGATTATTTGAATCACATATTATTTTAGCTTCTTTTTTTATATTCCAGAAAAGTAATATGGCCTACATTTGAAAGAATTTACTGATTATTTCTCAATATTTGATAAAAATTACTATGTGTGTCTCTTCCCATCATGTTGCTTAGAATATGTTACCTTTGACTAATGAGAAGCTTGTTTTTTAAGCTAGATGTCTGAAGTATTAGTTTTCTATCCTTTGTAAAATGATAGTCAAAAATTTTTGACTCCTTCATTATCTTAAAATACATAGTATATTAACAAGATATTAGAGAAATAATTTTTTAATTTTTATTTTTTTAAAATATATTTTATTGATTTTTTTACAGAGAAGAAGGGAGAGGGATAGAGAGTTAGAAACATCGATGAGAGAGAAACATCGATCAGCTGCCTCCTGCACACCTCCTACTGGGGATGTGCCCGTAACCAAGCTACATGCCCTTGACTGGAATCGAACTTGGGACCTTTCAGTCCGCAGGCCGACACTCTACCCACTGAGCCAAACTGGTTAGGGCAGAGAGAAATAATTTTTAAATGTGCTATAAAATGATTATAATATTTTACTTACATTTAAATAATGCCAATAATTTTTCAGACTGCTACAGTTTTGGTTCACAGAGTATGATGTGCATGTATATGTGTATGAATAATCATATAGATATGATTATTATAATCATAAAATAATAGCAAACACTATACATAGTCTAATTGTTGCTTAATATTCATTAAATATCTGTTACTGAACATAAAACACATGTAAGACAGTCATGCACAGATAACTCTTGATTTTAAGCAGGAAAATTTTAATATGCTTCTTTGCCTTATCTATTTTATTAAAATAAATGTTTTATTAGACGCATTATGAACTTACACTTTGAGAGGACACTTAATGAATGTAATTTGAATAAATCATTACAGCAAATGAAGCAATACCATGGTTTCAGATTATTTGCATAGAGTAAAAATTTAAAACACAGGCTTTGAAATCAGTGAAACCTGAGTATGGACCCTTCCCCTGCCACTTACTGGCTATATTGCCTTGATAAAGTTACTTAACCTCTCTGAACCTCAGTCTCCTCATCTACATAACGGATATAAATTAGTACTGACTTCATGAGGTTGTTTTATGAGATGATAGATATACTAGAGGCCCGATGCATGAAATTTGTGCAAGGGGCTCGGCCCTCGCAGCCCCGGCTTCGTCTGGAAGGTCGTCCGGATGGTTGTTTGGTCTAATTAGCATATTAGCTCTTTATTATATAGGATACTTTAGTAAGCTAAGTGCCTAACTCTAAATAAGCACTAAATAAAGAGTATTCTTTGGATAGAAAATATTCTGAGGTTGAATTAAAAGAGTAGATATGATAATGATGATGATGATTACAATTGAAGGAAAAGCAATTGTTTTGTATAAGCCATTTATTGTGTTTAAGCAAAATAGGGTGGGGCAAAAGTAAGTTTACAGTTGTTCATATGGAAAATAATACAATAATTAATAAATAATAATACAAGAATAGACTCTGTGCTTTACATATTAACAACTATAAACCAACTTTTGACCCACCCACCTTATATAATAAGTATCTGATTTTTTCTTTTTTAATTTTCAGTGTGCACCTAATCGGCCTATTGGTTTGGCAATGCGATATTTCTGTGAGCCCAGTAGCAGCCATAGTAACTGACATTTTTAATGCCTCCGATGATGGACGCGTCGGAGTTCCAGACGGGGTACAAAACTGGCCAGCACTTATAATCGTCATAATAATAATATTGACGATAGGTGGCAACATTCTCGTCATCATGGCAGTACGCTTTGAAAAGAAATTGCACAATGCCACCAATTACTTCTTAATGTCCCTAGCCATTGCTGATATGCTAGTGGGACTGCTTGTCATGCCAACTTCTCTGCTGGCAATCCTTTATGGTAAGTACAATTTTATTAGTTTTTCAGTCTCAGATTATGTCATAAATTTGTGTCAGGTATCACAGTAAACACTCATAAAGTTAATTATTTTGCTCGTATCATTTGAAAAGTGAAGAAAAAACAAATTGTGTGGCAGATGGAATTGAATGTGTATGTAATATTTATTAAATAAATCAGTAACAGTCTTCAAAAATCAAAACAGACATTTCATAACATATTAAGATCATAGATAGATACTCTATTGTTCAGTGTTATCTACAATGACAGTTGCCTTATAATGGGACAGAGTCAGAAACACACCATCACCCCTATAATCTGTTTTATATACATAGTACCATCTCTTATACAAAGAAAGTGAAAGAGGCTCACATCAAAAGTAAGCATATTTTAAGTAACCTTTTTTAATGTTGGCAAACAAAGTGCACACAATAAGCTCTCAATAATAGCTATCCTTCATGGAGTCTACAGTTTATGTTTTTACAAAGAGACAGGGGATAAAACATTAATTAGTAATGTATAAATGCAAGGTCACATTACCACAATAAAATTTAGGCAATGAAATTTTTATATATTTATTTATTGGTATGTAGAAGATATTTTTATTTATTTATTTTAATTTTATTTTTCCCATCACCATTTATCCCCCTCTACTGTCCTATTCTCCCTCATCCCTCCCTCTCCTCACAGTAACCACACTGTTGTTCATGTCCATGAGTTCTTTCTCTCTCTCTTTTTTTTCTCTTTTTTCCCCTCAATCCCTCCACATACCCCGAGCTTTGGTAAATTTGTTTTAGGGAGGTTTTTAATTTTTTTTTCTGCCATCTCTATGCCCTATTTATTTTAACCATAATTTTGCATCTAGCTAATATTTATAATGATCAACCAAAATCACTTCTACAAAACTACAAAGAATCTGTGCTAAGTGAAATAAGCCAGTCAGAGAAAGATAAATATCACATGATCTCACTCACTTATGGAATATAATGAACAACATAAATTGATGATCCAGAGACAGAGAATCATCGATCAGAATGTCAAACCTCAGAGGGAAGGTAGGGGAGGGTGGTAAGGGGGAGAGATCAACCAAAGGACTTGTATGCATGCATATAAGTCTAATCAATGGACACAGACAACAGGGGGGTGAGGGCATGAGTGTGGGGGGGGGGAAAAGGGGGGGTAAGGACACATATGTAATACC